TACAAATGGCCTTCATTCTTCTTTAAATTGCTTCACAATTCATTACAATTGGAATATATTTAGACTTTTTCAGTTTACTTTGGGCGTAATGTTCCCCATTTCAGAACAGTCTCATGAGAATAAGATTCTTTGTTGAATTGTATCCAAATTCTTGTGTCTTCTCATGCAAAACCGTTAATCAAGGAAATTCTATTCTAGGGAATGTCAAACTCCTATTTCTTATTCCCTCGAATGACACATGACCTGAAACGGGAAAATATTACGTCCAAGCTAGAAATGTCTATTGAAATACGAGTACCGAGTGTGACGTCATTCCGTTATTTGGCAAAACGAACTTACCTTTTCTTTATGAAAGGATTTGTTTTCCAAAGCTAGTCCAAATTGTTTTCACTTGTGAGCAGTTATATCCACATACAACAAAGACAAAACATAATCGCAGAAGGCAATATTTTGAGTTACTTTGACAAGCCGAAAAGGAATGTTTTAAAATTCTCTGTGTAACAAAGGTACATTGACCTTTGAGGAACATGTAGTGTTGCACTGCGGATATTATTCAAATTGGCGTAATGAATATAATTATTGCCAAAGAAAGAACAAAGCGGCGCCCCCCTTTAACAAACACACCCAAATACAATCACACCACGCCTGTACATCCTACGTTCATTGCATTGGCTACCAGTAAAGGAACGAATACATTTCAATATCTTAATACTGACGTTCAAAGCTGTCTATGGCATCGCTCCAGACTATATCGATCGTCTCATATCAGTGCAGCTTCCTAGCCGTTACGCTCTTCACAGAAACAATGAATCTCTTCTGAAACTATACAATGATAGGGCCTTTGCCGTTGCCTCCCCGTCTCTTCAGTTTTAATGCATATAGTGTATAGACATCTTACGTATATAGTATGTATTACAACTTATTCTTTTTATTCTTGTTACGCGCATGTGATCATATTTACATGTTTCATGTGCGCTGTCAATGATTATTTAAGATTATTATTGATTATTATATATTTTCCGAGATGATCACGGCATCAGCTTTCAGCTTGTACTGATTTAGACAAATGACATAGTCTGCTCAACAAATGTCAAAGAAATAGTTCCCAGTCTTTATGTATGTGCTATTAAGTTAAATACTCAACAAACGCCATGTAAGGCCTAAAGGATATTTGATATACATATGTATGAAGCTGCTGAGATACGCCTGTAATTTATCTCGTTCTGGTAAGCTTTAACGCGCAGTCCTAGCTAATTTGTTGTAATAATCTGCAGTGTCTATCATGCACATTACACGCTCGTATTTCAATTATAAACATCAATTTTGCAGAAATTAAAGTATTAACGAAATAGAAAAGGCGTGCATGACGTTCTTGAAGAGAGAAGTATGAAGAAATTAGGAGAAATACGACGCGTCCTGCATGTGTTTCTAGTCACAGCATCATTTAAAATCTAAATTAAATGCTCTTACAAGGAAACTGGAAGCTAAGAATTTTTCCATTCATTGCAGAAACTCATAGAAGGGAAACCAAAGCAAGACTACAAATATACTGAAGATGAGTGGCCGAACTCGAGACCCAAATGACGACATTGAAGAACTAAAACAGAAAGTAAGGAGTCTTGASATAAAGATAGCAGAGTTGGAACAACAGCTACAGAAAGCTGATGAGAAAACCAAAGAGCTTGAAGATGAGAAAAAAGCTCTCGAAAAGGAAGTGGACGAACACAAGAAGAAGATAAAATGGTTGGAAGATGAGGTTCGATATTTTTCAACCAAATCCGCCATCCCCGACCTTGAAAGAAAACTAAAGGAAAAAGACGCTCGAATCGTTTTCGTTGAACACCAACTAAACGCTATTTTAAATCGATTGGAAGAAAACGAAAAACTTTCTCAAAATCAAGCAAAAGATTTGAAAAAATACATGGCTGAAACAGATGAGTTGAAAAAATCTCGAAATAGGATGGAAGAAGATATAAAATATTTTACTAAAAAGTCTAGAGAGAAGGAGGATGAAAATGATACGATTAAAAAAGATTTGAACAAATACATGGCTAAAACTGATAAGTTGGAAAAATCTCGAAAGCTGCTATACATTGGTCAGCTGTGTGCGAAAGCAATGGAAGCAATGTATCGGGAAGTCTTGCCAGTTTACTTTAAAAAAGGAAACGATTACAAGCAGCCACATCTCAGAGATATTGATGCAAAAATTAAAGAGCTGTATAAAACTAGTAAAGCTAAAAGAAAAGCTCGAATAAGATGGAGAAATTTGCAAACCGAGAAGATTGATCCAGATGAAGATAATGTTAAGAAGTTAGTTGACTTCATGGAAGAAATGTTGGCAGAGAGGAACGAAGTGGCTCATCCTTTTCCATTGAACGAAAAAGAATTAAAGGATATTGCAAGTAATCTACCAGTTCAGAAGCAGCAACTTGTCGAAAAAGTGATCCAAATTTCAAAGGAAATGATACCTTCAATTTTTCTTGCATTTTAGAAACACGAAACGAACGGTTTCAGCTCTTATATTGAAAACTGCAGTCACGACTTTCTTAATGCTTACATAACGCCTAATTGCAAAAACGTTGTCATATAAATGAGGAGAAAACAACAACGAATAAGAATTAAAATGAAATTTTTTCAATAATGCACAATAATGGCAAAAAACGCCAAAAAGTAGACCTTCGTATGAGTTTTGATCCCAATTTTCGTTTTGGGTTAACACCTTTTTTAAACAGTTAGAAACTGATGATGTCCTATRATAAAATGCATGTTTGAAGAGGTATTTTCAATTGCACAAAGATGTTTTGTTGCATTTGTGTTAAAATGTTGCTTTGTCAGCCTTTTTTTWATAGAAAATATATGGGAAATAAGCAAATGAAGGCCTAAACCTCATTTTCGAATAACATTTTTTCATCTCCACTTCCAAACAAGTCAAACTTTTTGAATAACGAGATTTTAGGCTTGTACAACAGCCTTTCTTCAAGAAAATAGTTTTTAGCGCTCACTGCTTGAATACGAAAAGAATTCTCTCTTAATTGGAAATAATTTTTAATGATTTCATTCTAAATCTCCCCAGATTGATGAAAATATAACTGTTTCCGTACAGTAAGATAATATCAAAAATGTCAGATAAAATAATTTTTCCTGTTTTGCTCAAAAAATAATAAACCCCTATTTTTTATTTTTTTATTTTTTATCTTTATATGACAATGTTCTTGCTCTCAGGTATATACACCTAATTCAATAAACGTAGTCATCGCCAAAGGCGATAGGCAATAGACAATAGTCGCAAAGCGATAGTCGATAGGTCTTTCCAAGATCCAAGAATAGCTGGAATGACTTGTGTTTCTGCTTCTTATTCCCGTCAAGAACATGGACCTTAGTGCTGAGACTGATTCGATGTTCTTTGTATTCAACGAAACAAGAGAATATGAATATTTTCTCTTGACGAAACCATTTCCATATCGGAATCGTCTATCGTCTATCGCCTTTGACGATGACAACGTTTTTTGAAATAGGTGTATACGTTTTTATCAATTTTCATCATTCTATTATTTATCAATTTTTATCAATTGTTATCACGTTTTCCAAAGTTCCATTTTTTAATTCAATTTTACTCTGATAAACATTCCACATTCCACCGACAACACACAATGARAAAGTGCGTAGCTACATTATCACACCTTCAAATTTCKTAATTTAATATTCATTTTACAATTGCAGTGAATCATGCACTTCAAAAAATAATAGATACGATTTTTATCGGATGCGCAAACATTTATAATTGATTAAAAGTAAGATAGAAAAGAAGAAATCTTTATAGACTTTTTAGCAGTTCGGAACTGCTTTTCGATTTGGACCCGGAAGTATTTTTCATTTTTCCATACGTGATTGACTGATTCACACTTAAAAACTTTGTGAAGATAAGTTTTATATARGGTTTAATTTTTAGMTTTTAGATAGAGGTAGGTAGCACTAGATTAGTCCGGGAGCATATTTAAGTATTCCAGCTTTTATATTTAGTAGTGAGTAATAAKTATGACTGAGTTAGCTCAGTTAGTTTGTTGTACTATACGAGACCAACGCTCATGGTCTTAAAACATTTGAGAATAGTAGAAGCTCAATAAGGTGCTGCCCGTTGGCACTAAAAATGTCTGCAAATGATTAGACCTTTGCCGTGGATCGGATGACCACGTAAAATGGCGGTCCCGTCTCATTCAGAGACGTTAAAAAAGAGGGCTACAAATTTATCAGTTACAACTGTCACGTGTCACCCTCTCTAAACAAATTCGTCAATTCAATTTTTGCTTTCATTTTCTACGAATGCATGCTTATATATGTTTTTCAAATCAAATTAT